AGGTCTGGGATCCACTTTAGCTGGAGCTGGGTTGATATCATAGAGTCCTGTGGGGATTCACCACAGTTTGGGGTTATCAGTGCTCAGGCAAGTGAGAGCTGAGACCCCAGAGCTTCCCATGGCCTCCAGCCTCCCACACTTGTGAATTCTTCAGTGAGACACCAGGAAAGCTCAGAGCTGGAGGAAAAAACAGCAGCAAACAAGAAGCAGCAGATGGGTTGCCATGGTGATCACCTCCTGGAGCTTCAAGTGTCTTTCTTTCTGAACAGAGATGGAGGTACAGCAGGAAGAACATGGGCACAGGAGAGAAAGCCCAAGCCCTGGCCCCGATCTACCCCATATGCACAGCCTGGTGCATGCTCACCTTGGTTCTGAGAGGGAGAGAGGACACATTCATTAGGCGTTAGCTTTGTGCCAGGATGATGTGTTAAAGGTTGTCCATTCATGACTTAATTTAATCCTCTTCCCAGAAAGCCTTTGAAGAATGTGCTATGATCAGTATTTCATAGAGGGGGAAACAGCAACACAGAGAGGTGAAGTAACTTGCACAGGAACACACAGCTTGTTAAGAGCACCTGAGCTAATGCTCCGGGCCAACTTTCTCTTGAAAGACTAGATACATTCCTTCTGGAAATTTCAGGCCTATTTCAGAGAAGGAAGGACCAGAGGGAGGCAGAACCAGGGTGCAGAGAGGGAATAAATACTTCAGGGACAAAACAAACAAACAAAAAAACTTCAGGGACGCCTGGGTGACTCAGTGGTTGAACGTCTGCCTTTGGCTCAGGTCATGAACCTGGGGTCCTGGGATCGAGTCCCACATCAGGCTCCCCTCAGGGAGCCTGCTTCTCCCTCTGTCTGTGTCTCTGTCTCTCTGTATCTCTCATGAATAAATAAATATCTTTTTTTTTAAGAAAAAAAAAAAGAGAGACCCTTCAGATCAAACACAGTGGTGTTAGCTCCCTTTTTCTACCTGTGCGCTTGGCCAGTATGACACCTGGCACCTCAGGCAGGTAGCAAGCCCTTGCTCGGGCAGCCCCAGGCAGCATGACACATCCTTGTAGCTCCCCAAAGCAAAACCTGCAGTGCCCCAGCCCCGGGGGGCCAGCCTGAGCACGTCCAGTCTCCAATCCACATCAAGGTCTGCATCAACCCTGCCCTCCAAGATCTCTGTCTGCTCCCAGAAGCCTCCCCACACTGCACGGGAGCCCTGGCCTCCTCCTCTTCCTCCTCTCCCTCCTCCTCCTCCTCCTCCTCACTGCTGTCCTTTCCTCCCTGCCCTGTCTCACCCACCTCTCCTCAAGTGTTGGCTACCGTGCCATTGATCAGAGCCCAGGCAGAGGTTGGGGACTCCTGGTTGCTTTGAGGAGCCTTGAAGAGCTCAATGGAGGCCGCCAGAGCTTTGGGCAGAGCCCAGCGATGCATTTTTAGAATGAGCCAAGCTCAGTCCCACCTGCCAGGATGCCCTCCCTTCTCTCCCTCTATCCAAGCCGCAGGGCAACCATGTGAATCGCAGGCCAGACAAGCCCAGGGGCCAGCCAGTCTGAGAGCCACCCCACAGGGCCGTAGGAGGTGGCCTGTGTGTGGACACGAGTGTGGACATGGGCAGGAGCCAGCCAGGGTGCTTAGGGCTAGGGCAGCAGGAGCCTCTACCTGGTCTCTACCAAACCCCTCGCCAGCTGGCCTTGGCCTCCCAGCCCTCTCAACTTTGTCCACCCATCCATCCATTCATTCATTCAGCAAGTATTTGTTCAGCAAGTATTTATTTATTACCCCAATGCCGGGAAGACAGGGGTGAATGAAACAGAACTCCTAGCCTCAGAACCAGACTCCTGATTGTCCTCTGGATTGGCTCCCTACTTGGTCTTCCTGGTCTGGGTTGACAGCAGCTCTATCCTGCTGATGGCATCCAGTCCATCAGCAAATCTGTCGTTTTGCCTTAGCTCGAAATATACCCAGAATCCAAGGACTTCTCACCCCTTTCACCCTGCCACCCCAGTCCTAGCCACCATCGGGGCTCCTCTGCGAGATTCCCTGGGGCCAACACGGCTCCCCGCTTCTGTCTCTGCCCGTGTCCAGTGGTGCCACAAAAACAAGTCGGATCATGCCTCTCACATCATCACACGTCCATGCCACCCCCAGAACTTGTGCCCTGGTTTCTCCCTGCCCTGCTTGAGTGACCTGACCTTTACACATACACCCCCCCTCACTCCCTCACCTCCAACATCAGATAGCGTGTCAGTGTGCCCTCCCCTGTACGTCCCTTTAAGTGCTGCAGCTCCTCCTCTTCTCCACAGCTTTATTGCCAAATAACACAGGATGTGTTATTTGTTTTGTTCACTGCCCATCTCCCCGCCCTGGAACATGAACTCCATGAGCCCAAGGTTGTGTCTGCTTTGTTCCCTGCCCTGAGAACGTGTCTGGCCCACATTCGGGGCTCATGCAGGAGCTGTGGAATGAGGGCCTCTGTGACTTGTGGGGGCGCCAGAGCCATAATAAAAAGCAGTCCTTGCCTCCACTCCTGCCATTTCCTATCTGCTCCCACATGAGCAGCCACAGAGATTTTTCTAAAAAACTTATTGTGCCCTTCAAGTCTTAGGACAGGCATCACTGCTGACTTCTCTGGCCCTCTGAGTTAGGCAGTCCCTCCGGCCCTCAGAGCTCTCCTGTCCTTCCCCCTCCTTCATCCTGTAATTGCCTGGATCCTGGTGTTTCTCTGGGATGTAGGCGCCTTCTGCAGAATGGGGGCGTACCCGTCTCACTCAAGAGACAGGATGGTGCAATGGCTGAAGGAATGGACTGCTCAGGTCCAAATCCCAGCTAAGATGTGGGAATTTGGGTGAGTTAGTCAAGCTGCCCGGGCCTCTGTTTTCCCATCTGTAAGATGCAGGTAACAACAATACCTTCCTTGGAGGCCCCTAGGAGAGGATTAAGTGAGCTAATATACTTGCATTTGGAGTTGTGTGTGGAACGTGGTAAATGTAATATGAATGTCAGCTGTGGGATGCCTGGGTGGCTGGTGGTTGAGCGTCTGCCTTTGGCCCAGGGTGTGATCCCGGAGTACCAGGATCGAGTCCCACATGGGGCTCCTTGCATGGAGCCTGCCTCTCCCTCTGCCTGTGTCTCTGCCTCTCTCTCTGTGTCTCTCATGAATTAAAAAAAAAAAAAGAAAAAGAATGTCAGCTGTTACTGACACTGTTACTGTTCTTCACTGTCACATCTCTAGGGCTTGGCACAAAACCTGGCCCACATTTAGTACTTAATAAGTATTTGTTGGATGAATGAATGAATGAGTACAGGGATACAAGGATGAAGAAGTGACATGAGAACCTAGAGGAGGAGGGCCCAGACCCAGCCCGAGGAGAGTCTGGGAGGCTTTCTGTAGGAAGGCAGCCTTTCACTGGTTCCTGTAGGATGAGGTGGAGTTAGCTGAGCAAGGTGAATGGCGGGAGCAGCAAACAGAAAGTACAAAGGCCTCTCTCCACTTGAGAAAGCCTGATACATGCAGATAAAGTCTGCCTTTCTGCCATCACTAAGTGATGGACATTAGGCAAAGAGGCCAGGTTTCCCTTGTGCTGGCCACTTTGAGGGCACTAGGTGAATGAACTGTGCTCTTCCCTCAGACCTGCTGCCCACGGACAGCAAAGCATTGTCTCTGGTCAGATCCGAGATCAGGGAAGGCAAGCAAGAAAAGGAAGTTGCCATTTGTTGAGGGACCCCATGGGATAGGCCTGGATTTAACCTGGCAACCATCTCACGGTCAAGCTCTTTACCTCCATATAGAGCTAAAGGGACAGAGGCCTCACATCACCCAGCTATTAAGAGGTGGAGTTGAGTTCACTCTAGGTTGGCCCATTCCATGCAGCCTCCCCCATCAGACTGGGACTCCTGGCAGCCAGGGTCTGTGTCCCCCTATCACCTCAGCAATTGTTCAGCGGGTGACATCACCTATTTCTGACCCCCTCCCCCTTCAGAGCACAGACCAAGGAACTGAGCAGGGGAACCCCTCAATGGCTGTGGATGAATGGTTAGCCAAGTTCAATGCCAGGCAGAACCACATGGACTGGAGGGTGAGTGTCAAGACCTTCCACGGGGTGGCTCAGTGGTTGAGCATCTGCCTTTGGCTCAAGTCGTGATCCCAGGGTCCTGGGATCAAGTCCCTCATTGGGCTCCCCACAGGAAGGCTGCTTCTCCCTTTGCCTATGTCTCTGCCTCTCTCTCTGTGTCTCTCATGAATAAATAAATAAAATCTTAAAAAAAAAATGAGACCTTCCCTGCAGAGCTCCAGACAAGTGCAGACCTGGGCACCTGAGTGAGAAGGGCCGGGAGTGGGCCTGAAATGAGATTTGGTGGGCGATGCTGATGGAGGAGGGACTAAGCCTGGGAATGGTTGAGAGCATCTTACCCAATACCACCCATCCCATCCCACCTACTCCCTTCCCCCACTTCACACCTCACTTTCTCATCTGTGGACTCTCTCATCTGCTGACTGACACAGACTCCCCACACTCATACCTGTGGGGAGCACCCAGGAATAGAGTCAGGAGTTCAGGTTTCAAATCCCTGCCCTGTCACATCTTAGTCGGCTTCAGAAAGTACCGGTCCTCTCTGAGTTTCACTACTCTCACTTGTTAAAAAAAAAAAATGACGGTGATAAACCTCTGCCTTGGAAGGTTGATGTGTGAATTAGGCAAACTGTGAGGTGTGGGTCCCGCTCAAGAGGATTATTGGCCAGTGAGGAAACTGGTTTGGAAGGGGTTAAGTGGAGACCCTGCCTCCCAGGCAGGAACGAATCAGAGCTGGCAGGGGAGGAGCCAGGCTGGGAAAGAGATCTAGTCCGGCCAGATGCTGCCCTGAGAGGGAACGGAGGAGACACCAGCAGGGCTTGGGGTTGTGGGACAGGGGCTTGGGACCAGGTCCCGGTGTCTGCACCGTGATAGCTCTTCTAAGTCTGAGGGTGCAGGCCCAGCTGCTAGGGGTGGGGGAGGAGGGGCCAAGCTGCCTAGGCTGGGGGACAGGGGCAGGGTGGGAGAGGACTAGGGATCCAGAGCACTCCCAGCACCCCCAGGCAGGGGGCATGGCTGCACCCAGGCCTTGACCTCAGCTGACCCTGAGAGCCCACATGGGGCGTGGGGTCTAATTTTAGCTCCAGCCGCAGGGCCCACAGCCCAGGAGTGCTTGCCAGTGGGCACAGGGGCAGCCAGGGCTACTGAGGGGCTGCTGAGGCAGGGGGAGGATTGGGGAGGCCAGCCCCACTTCTGTCCAGCCCCGCACCCTGGCCAAGCCACCTCCTGTGAGAGCCCTGACGGGTCCCCCATGGCCTGGCAGACTGCCCGCCTCTCCGCTGAGGCCAAGGTCAGGGGGTGCAGCCAGGAGGGCAGAAGGACGTGGCCTTGCAGTGTGGTCAGGGATTGCATCAGCCTGAGCAGTGCCCAGGGGCAGGGGGCCTTGCTGGGGGGGGCAAAGCCTGGCTTGTTTGTCCAAAGGCCAAGGAAGCAGATTCCTGACTGCAAGAAGGCAAGGCCAGAAAGCCGGGTCCTCCCCGGCCTCCCGGTGCCTGGCTGGTGGTTGCGGTTTGACCTTACACAGGCAGCCTGTTCTCAATGGGCCTCAGTCTTCCCATCTGTACAATGAAGGCACCGAACTAGAAGGCCGACTCCAGCTCCAGCGGCTCACCCTCAAGCCCCTGCTCCTCCTGCTTCCCCCAGCCCTGGCTGTGGGTGGCCACATGCAGTCGTGGAGAAGAAAGGCCCTCTGGCTGGCACTGTTGGCCTCTTGGCTTCTCGTCCTCCTGAGAGTCTTCCCCCTTCTCCGCCTGGCAGTGCCTGCCAGACCTTGGGCAGGTGCCCCCCAAGGCTGGCCCCGCTGGCTGGATGCAGAGCTCCTGCAGAGTTTCTCACGGGCTGGGGAGCTCCCAGAAGATGACCCTCAACCTCCTCATGCCCCCCGTGGTGGCGGCCACTGTGACTGGGGAGCTTGCTTTAATGTCTCCAAGTGCAGGGGTGGTGGCCTCAAGGTATTCGTGTCCCCCGTGGCTGGACCTATCTCTGACACTCAGCGTGGGATCCTGGCTTCCATTGAGAGCTCCAGCTACCACTCAGTCAGCCCTGATGAGGCCTGCCTCCTCCTCCTCCTCGGCCCCGAAGCCCCGGCTGGAGAGTGCAGCCCGGTGCCCCAGCAATGGAATGGGGGAAAGAACCAGCTGGTCCTCAGTCTCCACCCAGCCCTCTGCCCCCAGACCTTCCCACCGGGACAGGCGATGGTAGCCAAGGCCAGCCCCGCGGTGGACACCTTCCGGCCTGGCTTTGATGTGGCCCTGCCGCTTCTCCCTGAAGCCCACCCATTGCGAGGTGGGGCACCTGGTCAGCTGCGACAGCACAGCCCCCACCCCGGGGTGCCCCTGCTAGCCCTGGCAGAGGAGAGGGGCGGGTGGCGCGTGGCAGGCGCTGACTCCCCTGCCTGCCCCTGGGACGGGCGCTGTGAGCAGAACCGTGGACCCGAGCAGTAAGTGGACCTTTACCCTGGAGGTGGGGGGAGGACTGGGAGGGGTCTGCAGTGGGGGTGAGCCCAGAGGCCTGGGTGGAGGGCAGGATTGAGATGGGATGGGAGAATGAGCTAGGCCTCAGCTGCAGCAGGAAAGAATCAGGGTAGACCCAGAGAAACACCAGCAAGATGGTACTTTGCCACAGGAGGTGTCCAAAGTAGGTTTTGGAGTTCTGCCTTGGGGGATCTGTAAAAACAAAAATATGACTCACTCCTGTTGACTTTTTCTCCTCTTCTAATTCCTCCTCTCCCAATATTTTAACCTACACGGCTCTTGTGTTCACTCTGTGCTACCTTATATATAATGGTTAAAATAAAATCATCCTAACTGCTATCATTTGTGTACCAGACAGTAAGCTCAGAGAGGTTAAGTAACTTGCCTGAAGCCGTCCAGACAGAAAGAGCACAGCCCGTGTTGAAATCCAGAGTTGCCTGTTGGCAAAGCTGTCAGCTTTAGAATTTTGAGTTTTAACCAAGAGTTTATGATCAACCCATCAAATGCCTCAGAGCCATGGTGATTAAGGACTGGTCTCCGATGGAAGCCGCTCTTGTATCTAATTTGGGGGATTAATCCCTTAAGGAAACAGCAAATATGAATGAGGTCAGACCTACAGAAGAACTTCCCGTCAGCACAGCTGCCTGGAGACATGGAAGGGGCATGGTGGCCTATGGGACAGGGAGAGTTGTTCAGAAATTCCTCTCCCTGGGTTAGTTGGAGTGACCACAGGTGATAAAGCAGTTAACCCCTAAGCACCCCAACCCTTCTGCACCCCTCCCTGGAAGGCCGGAGGTGTCCAAAGGCTGGTTGGGCAGACAGGATCTCAAGGCCTTTTGAGGTTGTTCAGGGCCCGAGCGGCCGAGGGTTCCTGCTTCATCTCTGGGGCAGACCTGAGTTGGAACCTGTCACTCTGGTGTCCTTCCCTTGCTCCCTCCCTCAGGTATCCCCCTGTGCTCTGCTAGAACAACACGGGCTATTCTCAGCTCCGCCTCCCCCCTAGGAATTCTTCACGTGGCCAAGCTCCATTTTTGCCTCTGCTTCTCAGGGGCTTCTCTCAGCCAGAGGGCTCTCACGGGAATGCAATCCCTCTACCTCCTGAAGGCACATGGCCTCCAGGGAGCCCCACAGCCAGGGGTAGGAATGCAATGTTGTCTCCTTGGTCCCCAGGCCCTTCTGCGGAGACGCATTCTTAGTAGGTGTCCTGGGCAGGATCTGAAAAGTCAGGGATCCCCCACCCCCACCCCAGGCACCTGATGAAGCTCGGAGCTCAGACAGGACTTAAGGTCAGTGAACAAGTTTCTCTGGCTCACCACGGCCCCCCCTCAAGTTTCTGATTAGGCTCTTAGCTATTCTTGCTTATAGGAAGTTCCTTCAGCTCACTTTAATTCCCGTTCTCTGCAGCTGGTGACTGGTGAATCTGAAAGCTATTTCAGTCTGAACTTCTTTGAGAAGCTGGAAGTTAGGGAGCTGCGTGTAGTAGGTGAATTGTTGACTCACTGAGTGTTTACAGATCGATCCCAAATTAGCCAGAATTGGTCAAGGCTTTCAAATTGCTGTGGGCCACCCCCTGAGAGTCATTGTTGATGAGTTTCTGTCCCAGGTGCAATGCCTGCAGCCTCTGTCCTCTGACCTTTCAGAAGCTGTGTCAGGCCTCAGCCCACCTGCAAGGGACAGGCCTATAATCTCTGGAGTAGCTTAAGGCTAGGTTCCCCGGAGGTGTCAACCAGCTGCCTGAACCAGCCAGACAGTGGAGGGACAGAGTAAGAGACAGAGGCCACCAGCCACAGGGGAGCCCCCAGAAGGTGGCCTGAATAAGCAAGTACTGGCCAGAGAAAGAGGCAATTCACAGTCCCTGCCACTGTCCCACGGCCACTGCCCCACATTCACTGGGCTGGTGAGGAGGGGGAGGGGGGGGAGGAAGCGAGCACGTGGGGAGAGCTTGCCCTGGGCTGGGTGCTGTGCCAGCCACTGTCATGCACCCTCCAGCACCCTTCAAGGGAAGTATTGTTATTCCCATTTCAGGGAACAGGAAACTGAGGCTCAGAGAGCCAGCCGAGGCCCCTTGGTGAGGATCTCCTTGATTCACCAGGGCCTCCCTAGGGTTTCTGATGGGGCAGCTGCGGTAGTGGCAGCAGTGGGGTTGGGCTTAAACCCCATACTTCTGGTTCCAAAGCCCATATTTTTCCACCTTTGGTGAACAGTCTCCTGTTGCTTTGGAATAAACCTCCACCCATTTAAATTGTTATTTATTTATTTTTATGAATAGGGGATTCATTCGCATGGTATGAAATTCCAAAGGCACAAAAGGGTGTACAGTAAAACTCCCTCCCACCCCTGTCTCTGGCCACCCAGTTTCCCTTCCTGGAGCCAAACACCATTTCTACTTTCTCTCATGTCTTTTCTGAAGTGCTCTGTGTGTGTGCAAACAAGTGTATATGCTCTCCCCAACTTGGGCTTTTTTTTTTTTTTAAGATAAATTCAATGCATGTTTTAAAGTTCCCTGTTTTGTCTTTTTTTTCCCCCCTGTTTCATCTTATTTGGATATAGGAGGCACCATGCCTGGGACCCATGGTATTTTTAGGCACCCAGGAAAACATTTTCATTTGTTTGAAAATCAGAAGAAAAACATGTACCTTTAAGTAGAAGAAAATGCTTTAATATACAATATTAATGTTTTCATTTATTTTTAAGATTTTATTTTTATTTATTTACTTTTAAAGATTTATTTATTTGAAAGAGAGAGCATGAGAGAGAGAGAGAGAGAGAGCACGAGCAGGGGGCGAGGAGCAGAGGAGAAGCAGACTCCCTGTTGAGCAGGGAGCCTGATTGGGGACTCCATCCCAGCATCCTGGGATCATGACCTGAGCCAAAGGCAGATGTTTAACTGGCTGAGCCACCCAGGCACCCCCAAGATTTTTTTTTAGCATATATATGAAGTTTAATAAAATATGAAATTATACTATGTGTTGAGTAGGGATAGATATAAAAACCCCAAGATTTTATTTTTAAGTAATCTCTACACCTGGTATGGGGCTCAGGTATACAATTCCAAGATCAGGAGCTGTACACTCCACCGACTGAGCCAGCCAGGCATCCCAATGTGTTTGTTTTTATATCAACAAAGTTATCAAATGTAATTTTTTTGAAGTATTTATTTATTTATTTAGTTATTAGTTATTTAGTTAGTTAGTTAGTTAGTTAGTTAAGAGAGAGAAAGAGAACACAAGCAAGGAGAGCAGCAGAGGGAGAGGGAGAAGCAGGCTTCCCACTGACAGGGAGCCCGACACGGGGTTCAATCTCAGGACCCCGGGGTCATGACCTGAGCTGAAGGCAGATGCCCAACCAACTGAGCCATCAGAGACCAGGGGCCTGATATATATTTTTTTATGGCAGAGGGGCCCCAAAGGCCAAAATGCCTGGGATGCATGGAAGTCACGACGTGGCCCTACCTATAACCAGGCCACAAGAGAGCCCAGTGGAGCCATGGGGCCATGGTGGAGCCACACTGATTCCATCATTGGGGCTGAGGCCCTGAGTCTGTGACAACACCTTATATGGGGACCAAACCCTGAGACTTCATTGGCAGGTACCGTGATGTCCCCTCCATAACACACATGCAGGAAAACATACAAAGGCAGGTGCTCATCAGCTCTGCTTATTTGCCTTTGCCGATGGGGATCTCAGCATCTCCCAAGGCCACCCGCTGGCCACTCTCATCCAGACCCATTACTAAGATTGGTGCTGAGACTGACCTTTCAGACATTTGGCCCACTGGTCCCGGGCCCATCCTTTATTGCACACCAAGCAGCCACTACCTGCCCTGTCTCTGCCAGGGGCTCCACGAGACCCCGGGGATGCTGAGGTGAGGACCACATGGCCCCGGGTGCTCCGTGTTTTGGGAGAGGCAGGCAAGTCACCAGTTGGGATCCACGTTGTTACGCAGAGACCTGCTGCAAGCTGCCTCGCTGGCCCCTCTACTTGGGAGCTGCGAGGCCTCTCTAGGCCTCCGTTCCCTCATCTGTAAAGCAGAGGACTAACCGCGTAGGCCCCTGGTCTCTGAGGGAGCGCTGTGACAGTGAGTGAGCACGTGAACACATGTAAAGCATTTAGAATGGTGCTCTGTGAAGGTCGGCAGGGCTCACTCTTACTGAGCATGCACATGGAGGCTGTGGGAGCAGAGAGGAGGGAGCCATCTCTGGGAAGATCAAGGCGGGCTTCCCAGAGAAGGTGAGGTTTGGGCTTAGACCTTAAGAACCAGTAGGAGGGGGCAGCCTGGGTGGTGCAGCGGTTTGGCACCCGCCTTCAGCCCAGAGCGTGATCCTGGAGTCCTGGGATCGAGTCCCACGTCGGGCTCCCTGCATGGAGCCTGCTTCTCCCTCTGCCTGTGTCTCTGCCTCTCTCTCTCTCTCTGTATCTCATGAATAAATAAATAAAATATTAAAAAGAAAAAGAACCAGTAGGAGGAATTCCCTGGGCCATAAGGCAGAGAGGGGTGCTCCAGGCTGGGGGCGCATGTGCAGAGACACAGAGTCCAGAACAGTGGAGGTTACGGAGGACCGATGAGTACAGTTTATTCAGAAAGTGCTTTGTCTCTGGGTTCTCAGTAGCCTTGAACTTAGGGCTTCTCAGTCCCTTAGGGCTTTGTTGGGGAGGGGAGGAGGGCTGTGGCCGGCTGGTGCTGTGGCACCAAAGCAGTAGAGAAAGTCCTGGTGTTTAATATGTGGCTTCTCCTGGGAGAAGCCTGGTGACCACCTAAGCAGCAGACAGAAGGCAGGAGACAACCCCTGGGAGCCCCTGAGCCGCAGTTCTGGGGTAGTTCAAATAACCCAGGGGTGGGAGTTAGCCTACCTGGTTCTAGTTCCAGCTCTGCCTTTACCCTTTCTGAGACCCTAAGCTGGAGTCCTTGGGTCTCTCTGAGACTCAGTTTCTCCATCTGTTCAATGGTTCAGACTCAGGCCAGGGAGGCTGTAGCTGAGGAGGGCTCTGTTCATCAGTCCCACTCTGAGCAGGCCTGTGAGTCCAGGAGTCCCGCTCCCTCCACGCCCTCCCCGCACCTCCCAGGAGCTACGTCCTGGGCACTGCTTCCCCGGGTGAGCAGTCCCAGGGAGGGGCTCTCAGGAGGCTGGGACTCAAGCCCTTCCCCCCCCAAACACACACAGTCTGAGTGTGGCCCTGGGGTTGCGGGGAGAAGGTGGGAGGAACAGAGGAGGCCTGTCCTCTGGGCGAGGGGGCCTCTGGGCAGCGGCTTCCTGTGCGGTTCCAGGCTGGGGGCCCGGCCCACCTCCTGACAGAAGAGCCTTTCATGGGCCTGGGCTCCCGGGATGGGGGGCGGGGGGAAAGCAGGGCAGGAGGCCACTCAGGTGAGGGCTGCCCGAGAATCTGCGTGGGGCAGAGCAGTGGGTGGGCAGACCGTGCCTCTCCGCGTCAGACAGGCCTTGGGAACAGCGGCTCCCACCACCTCCCATTTTGCACGTGAGGAAACCGAGGTCCAGAGAAGAGCAGGGGAAGATGCTTGAACCCGGGAGGGCAGAGGCAGAACTAGAACCCAGGGCTCCCGCCTCCTAGGCCACCGTGGGTGAGGGGCAGATGTGAAGCTGGTGTCTGTGTCCGAGTTCAGTGCATGGTTGTGCGTGTGCATGAGTGTTTGCTGACATATGAACCCCAGGTGATGGGCTTGCACACTATGAATCTGGGAATGTTGGAGGGGGGGCGCTGGAGGCCATCAGGGAACCGGGTGGGGTGAAGGGCAGCTGTCTCAGGCCTCATATGTTTAGGACCCCCTCCTGTACCTCCTTAGGACCCCCCTTGGGGCAACGCTACCCAATGCCACCTTCTGCATCATCCCTGGCCACCGTCCGGAAGCCTTGCACTTCTTCCAAGCCCTGCAGGTACAGCCCCAACCTGGGCATCCCCTGACCCTGTCCCCCCCTCCCCCTGCCCGAGCTGACAGGCCACCGTGGGCCCAGGCCAATGGGAAGGGACAGTGAGCTGCTCGCTCCTTTACTCCAGGACGCAGGAGTGCTGACACCCACGCTCACCACACCCTCTGCAGAATGACTCAGCGCCCCAAAAAACACTTTCTCCCCTCTCTGCCCCTTGCCCCCAACTGAAGAAGCCGCTAATTTGGAACTAGGGGAGGGGGAGGTGTGTAGGACAGGACTGGGCTCCCTAGTGACGCCCCGTTTCCCCAGGCTGGCTGCATCCCTGTGCTGCTCAGCCCTCGGTGGGAGCTGCCGTTCTCCGAAGTCATCGATTGGACCAAGGCCGCCATTGTAGCAGACAAGAGGCTCCCATTTCAGGTGGCTCAGGGCCCTGGCCACGGGGTGGGGAAAGGGCCTGTGATCTTGGCCCCCGGGCTCCGCTCAGTTCTCACTCTACGTGTATATTATGGCTTTGCTCCAATCCCCAAGCCTCTGGGGCTCCCATAGGCTCAGAGAGAGGCAGAGACTCCTGATGGTTCTGAGAGCAAGTCCTGAGCCTTTCCTAGCCTCAGTTTCCCCATCTGTACAACGGGATAAGTTAGACCAGATGATGTCTGTGGGCCCAGCCCATGACTTGACCAGTTCAAGGGAAAGCCACAAAAAATCCAAAATCTGAGTATCTCCATAGAGACCGAGGAGGAAAAGCAAAATGCGCGGTGACCTTTTCCATGATGAAACTAATTTCGCCTGGCTATGAAAAAACGTGCATAAGCTTGAACCCCCTGAGAAGTGAGGACGGTATGGTTGTTAATAATAACAGCCACCCGTCACTGAGCCTCTACCACATGCTAAGCACTTAATGTGATTATCTAATTTACTCCCCACTGCCACCCGTGGGGCAGGTACTGTTATCATCCCCCCTTCACAGATGAAGACACAGACTCAGAGAGGTTGAGTAGTTTGTCCACCGTCACACAGCTACTAAGTGACATCTAGGGCCAGCTGTGTGTGACCCTTGAACTCTTAATTGCTAAGTTACCTGGGACTTGGCCAAGGGTGGCTGCTGCTAACCCACGTGGAAGACCGTGGGGAGAAAGTTTCTGGTTCCCAGACCTCCCACCGAGGTGGTCCCTCTTCAGAGTCAGAGCCTGACAGGGCCCCGTGCCTTCTCCTTCCTCCCTCTGTGCCTCAGGTCCTTGCTGCCCTCCAGGAGATGCCCCCCACAAGGGTCCTTGCCCTGCGTCAGCAGACCCAGTTTCTGTGGGATGCCTACTTCTCCTCAGTGGAGAAAGTCATCCACACCACTCTGGAGGTGAGGGGGACCTCCATGATGGGGGCCTTGGTGCTGGGCTCCTGCCTCAGCCCGGTTCCCTCTCCACACTGCTCCCCGCTGTTGGGACTTCCTTCCCCCTTGAAGAGGCTTCTGGGATGAATCTGAGACTTGGCTCTGAGCTCTTGGACAAGTTCCCTCTCCACTCTTCCACACTTTGCCTCAGTTTCCCCATCAACAGAGGGTACAGCTCTGGCCAATAGATTCCGAAGCACGTGCCAAGTTGGCAGCCCAGGTCATGGGCAGCGGCTGCCTGGGGTGCTGTGTTAAAGGGGAGTCTGGGTCTGGGTCTGGAAAGAATCTCACGACTTGTTAGCAACATCTGCCATGAGTGAGGAAGGGAAGGGGGGCAGCAAGCTCACCACCATCTGCCGCCTCCTGACACCATCACCGAGTGCCCCCCACTCTGGACTTCTGGACCTGAACCCTTCGGACAGGGATGCAGCTGCTGCCCTCGCAAGAGCCAGAAGGGGGGTAGGGGGGTTCCCAGGTCCACACTTCCCCGACCCTGCCCTCGGCCACACCGGCCACTCCCTCAGCACAGCCCTCTCTCCTTTCACAGATCATTCAGGACCGGATCTTCGGAGCATCTGCTCACCCTTCGCTACTGTGGAACAGCCCCCCAGGCGCCCTCCTGGCCCTGCCCACGTTTTCCACAAGCCCCTCAGACTTCCCATTCTACCACCTACAACGGGGTATGCCCTCGGGAGGGGACACCTTGAAGTCCCCTCACCAACTCTTCCCAGCCTCATCCATATAGAGCCCTGCCAACCCCTCCCTGATTCTCCAGCGTCTCTCCTGGCTCCTGGAGTCCCCAGCTCAGGTCCCTCCTCGGGGGTCCTGTCCCCTCCTCCCCTAACAGCCTGTGTCTCATTCCCCAGGCTCTCGGCCTGTGGGCGGGTTCAGCGCCCTGATCTGGGTGGGGGCCCCAGGCCAGCCCCCGCTGAAGCTCATCCAGGCAGTGGCAGGCTCCCAGCACTGTGCCCAGGTCTGTCCCCTTTTCCAGCCGGGGTCCTGGGATCCAGGGTGGGGGCAAGGGAAAGACATGGAGACCTCAAGCGTAACCGCACATTTTGGGGGGAGAGACACGGGAGGCCCTTTCAAGTGCCATCACTGCCTTCCTCTTAGTCCCAGGGTTCTTATTCCTTTCCTCCTCCTCCTTCCCTCCCTCCATCCCTCGTGGAAACTGATGAAATCATCTAAAAAGCAGGTACCCCTTGGGGAGGCTGGAGAGGTAAACACATGCATTCACGCGCTCACCCGTCAGTCATCAAGCCCACCCAGGCCGTGGGCTTGATGCTGAGGATGCAGAGAAAAAGCCAGAAAGGTTTCCGCCCCAGATTCAGATTCAGTTAGCATTTCCTGGCACAAGCTGTCAAATCCCACTTCCAGAGGAGCCACATAGACTCTTGAGAGGACTCACAGGGGAGGGAAGCTCTTAGCTCAGCCCTCAGCCCAGGACAGGCAGAGCAGCTCCACAGATGGGACGTCTGAGCTGAGCAGCCAATGCTATGAAGGAGCAGAAGAGAAAGAAAGCCTCTGAGGGAAGATGGCGATGGAGCGATGGGTCAGGGCCCAGGCCAGGAGCCACCACAACTGACTCTCTCCAGTTCTGATGCTATAGGTAGCTACCTTCCTGTCACCGGGAACCTTCCAGAAGCCCAGAGGCAAAAACAGGGCAGTGAAGAGAGGGCCTTTGCTCCAACTAAACTCTCCCAGACTCCCCAATACAGCTGCTCCCCCAGATTTCAGCAACACCCCCTCTTCCTCCTAGATCTTGGTTCTCTGGAGCAGTGAGAAGCCACTTCCACCCAGGTGGCCCAAGACAACAGTGCCCTTGACAGTCCTGGCCGGGCAGAGGAAGGTGAGGAGTGGGGACGGGCGCAGAGGGAGGGCTCCAGCCCCTGCATGTGGGGGAACCGGGAGGGCACACACAGGGTGCTTTGCTTGAGCCTGAGCCAAATCTGGACTTCCATCAGGCTTGAAGCTGGCTGGGAAGTCCCTCCTCATGACTCACTTAAGTATCTCCCCAGGGTGGACTTTGCTTGCACCGTGTGGGTGTGGCAGAGCTTTCTGGAGTGGATGATGGGCTGTCTGTCGTGGTCTCAGCTACAGGCCCAGTAGAAATGATCCGCTTCCATCCCTGGCCCCTGTGGATTGTGCTTCCAGAGAACTGGTGTTTTATGTGACGAGAGAAGGCAGAGGGAGTGTGTTGGCTGTCTTGGATGAGCTAGAGGAGAAACATGGGATCTTGAGGAAATGAGGACAGATGGCAGCCGGTGGAGCCAGAGGAGGGTGGCTTCTGAGAACCCGGGTTGGGATGAGCCACCTGCCTGCTGCGTGGTTCTGGGCAAGTCCCTTCATCTCTCTGGATGCCTTTCCTTCAAATGAAGGATGTCTGACAACCCCTCCCAAGGGCTGAGGTGAACATGTCATGTGACGAGAGGAATCCTGAGGTGTCAGAACTAGAAGGGCCCCTAGATACCATCTGCCCCATTTTACCAAGGGGGAAATCGAAGTGCAGAGAGCTGCAGCGAGTTCCAGGTCCCAATTCCAGGCAGCCAGGCTGCTTCCACTGCCCTGCCTTCTACACCACGTGTGCAGGGGCTCCGCACAGCAGGTATTTAGACGGGCACCCTGGGAGGCTGGGGAGCGTTCCCACGGCTGAGTTGGCCTCACCTCCCCCCCACTACAGGTCAGTGATCGCTTCTTCCCGCACCGAGCCATCAGCACTGATGCCATCCTCAGCCTCGATGCACACAGCAGTCTTACCACAAGTGAGGTGAGGACGGGCCGCGAGGAGCCCAGTGTGTGGCGGGGACAGAGCCAGAGGGCCTGGGCAGCCCCTTGGGTCCCCAGAGCAGGGAGGAGCATCGAGGTGCCAGCATAGAGGTGCAGCTTCCAACTGTAGACACCACTCAAGGGAGCCAATCAGCCTCCTCCTTAGCAATCTCTGGAAGCTTTCAGCAGACTCTTGAAGACAGTTCTCAGCTCCAGCTGAGAAAGCATTGTTCCTAGCTCCTAGATGGGTACCCCACCCCCGCCCCCAGCACTCCTGGAAACTTTCATGCTCCTGTCTCCTCTCCTCTGAGTCCCCTCTGCCAGGCTGGCCTTGCCTCCGGATCTTTTTTTTTTTTTAAGATTTTATTTATTCATGAGAGACACAGAGAGAGAGGCAGAGACACAGGCAGAGGGAGAAGCAGGCTCCCTGCAGGGAACCCCATGTGGGACTCGATCCCAGGACTCCAGGATCAGACCTGAGCCAAAGGGAGACGCTCAACCCCTGAGCCACCTGGGTGTCCTGTTGCCTCCGAATCTTGTTCCCAGTTGGTGGGGAAGTCCCTCCTCATACCTCACTTAAATGTCTCTCCAGGTGGACTTTGCTTTTGGAGTGTGGCAGAGCTTCCCTGAGCGGATGGTGGGCTTTCTGACGTGGAGTCACTTCTGGGATGAGGCCCAGGGTGGCTGGGGCTACACGGCTGAGAGGGCCAACGAGTTCTCCATGGTTCTCACATCAGCTGCCTTCTACCACAGGTACAGGTGGCAGCCCTGGCTCTGGGAGCAGAGGGCCAGAGACCCCGCCCTCTTTGAATCAGGAGCAGGGTGGCATGAGAGTGAACACAGCAGTCAACCTAGAGCCCAGAGACCCAGGTTCAAGGCCCAGATCCACCACATCCCAGTTGTGTGATGGGCAAGTCTCCTCACCTCTTGTGAGGCCCAGTTTCCTTATCAGTAGAATGTTTTCATCTCACAGGGCTGATGTGATAATCAAATGAGAAAACCCTATGAAGGCCTTGGCGCACAGATGGTCAACAAATGGTAGCTAGTGTTATTTTAAATAGAGCCTTGTAGAGCTTACAGATTTGGGTTTGGTTTGGTGATGGTGGTAAGAGAATGGTCCTAAAGCTTTTTTTTTTTTTTTAAAGGATTTTATTTATTCATGAGAGACACAGAGAGAAGGCAGAGACAGGCAGAGGGAGAAGCAGGCTCCCTTCAGGGACCCCAATGGGGGATTTGATCCTGGAACTCCAGGATCATGCCCCTGAGCCGAAGGCAGATGCTCAACCACTGAACCACTCAGGCGTCCTGGTCCTAAAGCTTTATAAATGTGTGTGTGATGAGCTGGGGACTGTTCCAGTCCTTCCAGAAGTTGATTGAAGGGCCTGTCTTTGGGGTAGGGACTGAATTCTGGGAGGCCCCTTTAGAGGGATTGCTGAGATGTGTTTAAACTAATTATGTGTAACCTGGAACCTCTGATAGACTTTCCCAGGAGCTCTGCAGGGAATTCTTAGCAGAGTGAAAAATATCCCTAAGGTCTGCAGGGTGGGCCTAGGTTGTTCTCTCGGAGGCAAGGCTCACCCAGAGCAGTATCAGTCGGGTTAATCCACAGACTTCCTGAGGCTGGTCTTTGGGGCCTGCCATGTTAAGTGGCCTTGGAACCAGTTGATCCCCCACCTCATTCTGGCCAAGTTCAGACCTCAGAGCCCAGGGGTGGGAGCCCCAAGGAGCTGGAAGGGATGGGGGCAGGGAGTACACACCATTTGCTGCAGACAAACCACAGAGCACAGCAGAGTAGAGGTTTGTATTTCTGGTGTGTGTTCTCTGAGGCGGCCGGGGCTGAGATGGGAGCAGGGGTTTCTAAAGAAGGTGTGGGGATTGAAGTCAAAGGGAGAGTGAGGTTGGGAGAGATTGGGGCCTGGCAGGGAGGGGTGGTGGGTGAATTAGGCTGCAACCTCTCCCTGTCATCTCCTCTTGCGCAGGTATTATCACACCCTCTTCACCCACTCCCTGCCCAAGGTTCTGAGAACCCTGGCAGATGAAGCACCCACCTGTGTGGATGTCCTGATGAACTTCCTAGTAGCAGCTGTCACCAAGCTGCCCCCTATCAAGGTGCCCTATGGGAAGCAGCATCCAGAGGCAAGGCCTCCACTGGTGAGGATCCAGGTTGGCACTAGGAGGGCGCTGGCTGGGGAAGGGATTTCCTGTCTAATCGGAATCCTTTATTGCTGCAGGGTATGGGGGCATGAGGGTGGATCCAGAAGGAGGAGAGAAGACCTCCAACCCATTTCCCCTCCCCCTTAGGCGCCTGGGGCCTCGGAACAGCAGCCGCCAGCCCAGGACTGCATCAATCAGATGGCAGCGGAGTTTGGCTACATGCCCCTGGTTTCCTCTCGCCTCCGTCTGGACCCAGTACTCTTCAAAGACCCCGTGTCCGTACTCCGCAAGAAGTATCGCAGCCTGGAGAAACCCTAGGAGAGAGCGGCGGAGGCCCCAGGCCTGCTCCCAGGGGGCACTGCATCTGCGGGGGTGGGGGTGGGGGTCGGCGGCCCCCATCCGTGGCACATCTGGAGATCCAATCAAGGCTGCCAATTAGCCAACACGTCAGACCCCTATTGCCCAATCAGCCATTGCGCCCCGAGGCGCGGGGGCCTCCCGCACCCTCCAGGCCGCTGCTGGGCAGGTCACAGGTGCAAAGCGCTTGCTCTGGCTGTGCCGCAGCCATCGCTCACCCTTGGCGGGAGTGCCTCTCTCCGCTCCCCCGTGGGAGCTAATACTTGTCTTTCAGATCTTCGCCTCCTCCACGGGCTTGCCTGACCCCCATCCCCGACCCGGATCCTCTGCGCTTTCACAGTCGGGTGTTTCTCACTGTTCATGCTGCTTTGCAAGGTACATGGTCAGGCCCCAGGACTAGCCTGGAAGCCCCCGCGGCGGGTGGGGCATGTCCTCTCCTCTCTGGCCTGGCAGGTGCTTCACCAATATTCGATGAATAGACGACACCAGCTGCGTACCTGGCCCTGTGCCGCGGTCGGGAATGTGGACAGGTGCCGAGCGAGACCGAACTCTACCCCCCACCCCCGGGGTTCCTAGTCTGGCAGTGGCGCAGCTGCCCACAGATGCCTGCATTGGCAGGCGCGATCTTCGCACAAAGAGGCGCCGAGAAGCCAGTTTCGGGGCTTCCTTCCCGGTCGGGCCGGGGAATTGGGCCTGGGGCGGGAGAGGGTGCGAGCGCCAGCGCCGGCCTCGGTTCTGCACTACCAGCCGCGACCACTAGAGGTCAGCGCCGCACCGCGCTCCCTCCTCCCGGAAAGGGACTGGAGCTCTAAACGCCCCCCTTCGGTCAAGGGGTGACCGGGCAAGGGGATGTCGTGTTGGTGGGGTGCAGCCTGAGGTCTGAAAAACCGACGGAGGAATTTGAAAGAACAGCCCCACTCCTTTGGCCCACGTTCTCAAGACTAAGAAGCCATTTCTAGGTGGGCTGGGTGGGAGATGGGGTTGTCGGGGGTGCCCTGGCCGTGACAGTTGAGTGGGGGGAAGGGATGCTGGGTTCTCCAGGGTTCATCCACCTGGAACTGGAATTATCACTTCCGAAATAAAGCGTGTGTCCTTGCCCCTCACGCTAGCTCGAGCTATAAATACCCCCACAGCAGCTGCACGGGGGAGGGGGAACTCAGGGCTCGCCTGGGAATGGGGTGACTCGAGAGAGGTGGGGATGATGGGGCCAGTCCAGGTCCAGGGTGTCAGGTGTTTTCCTGCTTTGATGGCCTCGAAGCTTTGGAAACTCTCGTGACTAGCTCACTCTGGCTGGTCAGAACATGCTGTCCCCCAGGGCTTCTCTGAAGCCTCCCACCCCATCCTCCAGCTTGACCTCTGGCCGCTGGGTGACTCAGGTCTCAGGTCCTTCCTGGAACCAGTCACAGCTGGGGTGCAGAAAGGACTCTCTTGGGAGTCATGGGGCTACTTGAGATGGAGGGGCTCCTGGGAGTTAGGAGGGAAGACATTCTGGCCCCGGGTCAAGAACAGTTGGAGGTGGGTGAGGAAGCACACAGCTGTGGCCCAGGCAGCCTTCCCAGGACGGGGAGGGCTCTGAGTGCCAGGTCCAGCCAAGAGAGAGGCACCCTTCCCCTTCGCACTCATGGCTTTGTCACCCAGACACCGAACTGCCTCAGCGGGCCCTTACCCGTGGAGGGCACTGCCAGCCCAAGGGCTCGCACTGGACCAACATGCAGCCCAGAGGGTTTTCAGCTCCTGCTGTAGAGGGAGGCCTGGGTGACTGAGGCAGAAACCCTAGACCTGCTTCACAGTGGCTGTGTGACTTCAGACACTCAGCCTCTCTGAGCTTTGGTGTTCTCATCTGGAAAAGTGGAGCACTGCAATGAGTGTCTCTTGAGAGGGTGTAAGGATCCAGGCTCCTGGGGCCTGCAGGGGAGAAGGGCACTTCCCCAGAGATTGGGGTGGAATAGAACACAGCTAGTGGCAGTCCCCTGCCTCGCACTCCCAAGCCACATGACTTCCCACAGATGTTGAGGGGCTGAAGAGCCCACTGACTTGGCTCACAGGTAAGCCTGGATGATGATGCTGGAAAGGCGAGGTTATTTCATAGATGGGAAGAGAGAGGTTCATGGGGAAGGCAAGTGATTAACTGTCCTCTCTCTGCTATGAATCAGGGCAGAGTCAAGACAAAGTCATTGCGGCTCCTGGGGAGGCAAGGAAGCCCACCTGGCTCTTGGGCAAGGCGGCCTCATGCTGGGTCTTTCCGGAATGATCAGAGTACACACTCTTCAAGCAACACCAGGAACTTGATAGGCTTTGGCTCCAGTCCTCACAACAACCCTGTGAGGTGGGTTCATCCTTGGTCTCTCATTCTCTGATGAGACCTAAGGACACTTGCTAGCAAAGACCAGGGCTGCCTAATGAGTGGATGTGCTGCCTTCTCTGAGACTAGGGACAAGTCTCCCCTCTTCATCTCGTAAACACAAGCTGCCCCTAAGTCAGGAATCTACATACACCTCAGGAAGCCAACGTCTCCCACCCATTCATTGTACAACCAATTCCTCTTCATCGTCCATCCTCAAGTTTTGAGCAGATCGAGCTACACTGGCAGCAGAGCTGGCCCAATCACATCAGATTTCAGTTTCTGAGGTCCCTGGGACTCTATCGGGGCAAGAGAAGTGGGCCTGGGGCTGTGTGGCCCGTTAGGGCAGGACCCGAGCTAAAATCTCTGCCCTCACCCCCACCACCAGTGGCAAAGGCATCATGGTGTCAGCACAAGTTTCCTGGGCTGGGGGAATAAGGAAAGAAGAAACGAAACCAGCTGGGTGCCAGGTGGTGACAAGCCTCCTCCCTCTAAGAAAGGGAAATGTGTGGCTCATAGCTGAAGTAACTAAGGCACAGACAGGCCTTGGGGGTGCCCACTGGTTTCCCATCTCAGGGGGACAGGTTGGACAGTGCAGATCCTCACAACTCCCAACCCCCAAGGACTCCTTAAACCATATTGTTATAGGCAGAGGGAGAAACTCTGTCCCAGGGCTTCTTCAAAGATTCATGAGGTACAAGCCAGGCAGACTGAAATGAGGACTTTGGCAGGTGGGCAAGGGGACCCTGAAACCAGTCTCCCCTCGGCCACCCGTCACTGGGCCTCACTGTCTTTCCTGAGGCTGGTGGCAGGAAAGCATTAGCTGAAGATTAGGCCCAAACCCAGCCCTGCCAGGCACCAGAAGCTGCAGGAGCGGGGTCATACCAGCTTTTTACACTTGCTGAGTCTCCAGCCTTAAACTGGCTATAGTCAGATGGGGGAGGCAGGGGGCAGTTCCTTCACACCGAACACAGAGCAGAGGTCGGGAGAGGGAGCTGCTTTATAACATAGCCGGGCCTGGGGGACACTTAGCCCCACCACCTGCAGGTCCTGTCCAAGCCTCAGCTAGCACTTGGCCAAGTAGTCAGTCGGAGGGACCTTGGCACTCCTGACAGTCCTTCATGTCCTCAGAGTAGTCTTCGATCTGGATGGTGATGGTGTGGAAGCGGAACTTTCCCTGTAGGCGGGTGCTGGCTGCCTTCAGCACAGCCTGGCCATCTGCATTCTGAGCTGGGGGCCGAGAGGACACAGCAGGGGAGGCACCAGAGAATGATTTACTCACTCTAGGGCCCTTAGGAACAATCAGGAGCCTATCTCATTCCCTACCCCACCCCCACCCCAGAACAGGAGACAGGCATCAGGGACACCACCCCCCCTCCATTTCACTCCTGCACCAGGCCACCCTCCAGTCCCCACACCTGGCACAATCCTGCAAGAGGAGGGGAAGCCCTGGCCTTAAGGCTAGGAATCTTTTCTTGGCATGGGCAAGTGACCTTACTGCCCGCCTCCCCAGTCACCAACCTCAGTTCCTTCATCTAGAAATGGGATTGTGATGATCACAATAATGTCTACAAAGCACTCAGTGTGGGACCAGGTTCAAAGCAGCTGTGCTACAAACACCTGAGGTCCCTGGGTGCTTTGGGGATGGCCCCGGGCCTCTGGTGGCCGCTCTCCCTCACCCTGCCCCTGGGGGGCCTGCCCACTCACCGATGGCGATATGGACGGACAGCACAGGCTGGGTCACGGTCAGTGCCCAAATGTGCAGGCTGTGCAAGGCTTCCACCCCTTCGACCGACAGTAGCAGATCCCGAACGGCTGTGAAGTCCACACCCTTGGGGGTCCCTGAGGATGGCAGGGACAGGGGCTGAAGGAGACTGCTCCCTCCCACCCCTGCTCGTTTCTGCTGTTCCAGAGCAGTCTCCTCAGAGCAGACCTCCTCGGCCAGCAGATCTAATGGTGCCTCCACCTCCCAGATGATCTCCCTCATATCGCCCCTTGGTCTTTTCCTCTTCACACTTGACATCATGACCTTGTTAGTCTCCTGCCTATGTCCCCCACTAAAATGGAAATTCCACGAGAGTGGGACAGTTTGTTTTGTCTACCCCCATATCGGTAGGGCCTAGAGCAGTGCCTGGCCCATAGCAAGGGCCCAATGACTATTTTTTGTAATGAAAGGAAGAATGCAGGGGGCCGCCGCCCCCACACTGGGCATCAGCATCCTCCCTGGTATCTGGGTCATTCTCTTGAAGAAGATGCTCTGACCTTTGGCCAGACACTTCCACTAATTCCAAATCAGAACCCCACTTCAAACTGACCCTGGCCACCCAGAGCCCCATGACTCAAGGCCCTGGGGCACAGGAAAGCTGGTCAATGCAGTAACTCAGCGTGGACCATTTGCCAGCACTGAGGAATCCTCTCCCCAGCCCCTAGAGCCCAGCCACGTGCTCCAGAGCCAGAGGCCTCAGAAAGGAAGGCACTGAGCTGGAGTGGATTGGGGATTCTGAACCTCAGTCTGCCCCCCAGTGCAATGGGAAGTGGAATCCTGCTGTAGGGAAGGTAGACAGAGACTGAGCAGTGTATGGGGGAGGATGGAGCTTTACCAGACTAGGTAGGGAGGATACACCCCAGCAGGGAGGAGATACCTTGGGGCTAGTGGAAAGGGAAGGTAGTCCGGGGGACATTTCTAGGAACAGCCACACCTGAGGGCTCCAGCTCCATGCCAAGACTGGCCTGGAGCCCCAGGAGGTTTTCCAGCCTATGCCAGGCTCCAGACCATGGCTCCCTGCCAAAGTGCCGGGACTTCCCTGCGCCTCCCACCCCCACCCCCTGCTAAACTTGTTAGTGCCATAGAGTTCAGAACAGAGGAGAGCCCCAAGCCCAGATTACCTTCCATCAGCACCACGATCACATCTCTCAGGATGGTCAAGGTCGTCCCCAAGACCAGGATGGAGAAGAGGAAGGTGCAGATGGGGTCTACATACTTGTACTCTGGCTACAGAAAATGAGGAAGGCAGAGCTGTGGTTCACCACCCAACACCTCAGCTTCCCTTGCCCTTCCCATCCACTGCTGAGCCAGGGAAAGGGGCTCTCTCTGCAGGCTGAGCTCTGGCTCTGCCTCCCAGTTCTCTCTACCTTTTATCCTGTGTCCACACAGATCACAGCTCAGGACAAGGCACAGGCAGTCCCTTCCCACGCCTCCTTGATCAAGGGACTGAAGTGTGAACAAAACTAAAAGGAATCTTAGACACCAATGGTCCAACATCTCGATTTATAGATGGAGAAACTGAGGACCAGTTAGAGCACATGGCTAGCAAGGAGTGAAGCTGGGCTTCAGCCACGATGCCTGACTCTTTCTACTACACCATTCTGCCTCTAGTGATTGGCAAGGCCCAGGCATTGGCAGCACACAGGCCTGGGTTTGGATCTGACTTCACAATTTCCCAGCTGTGTGACAGCATCAAAGTCACCAAACCTTTCTGAGATGTGGAAAGCCCCACCACCGTCTCTTCGGGATTATTGTGAAGATCATAAGTACCAACACTTGCTAGGCATTGGGTAAATGTTCCTTCCCTCTCCCCACACAGCTGGGAGGAAGCTAGAACCCAGAAAGGGCCATGTGTGGAGAGGAGCCCCCAGATGATCTATACTCTCTAGCCCACCCCCCAGCCTACCTCCCTCTGTCCCCAGTTCTGACCTTGAAGTACAAAATATAGGCTGCCACCAAGATGCCTACACTCTGCAGAAAGTCTCCAATCACATGGATAAATGCAGCTCGCACACTGGGGTTCTCCTGCTGCTGGCTGGAGTCGTGGCTGTGCCCGTGGCTAGACTGATGAAGAGTCAACCCCATTCTAAAGAAACAGAGACAAAGCCAAGGGCTCACTGATGTAGCAGGTAGAGGCCCCCCAGTAGGGTTCCTGTGGGACAAAAATCCTAATCCCCAAACTGCCGGATCCCTCTGTCTTGTGAGGATCCCGACCCACCTGGCCTTGGTTCAGAGCACCACAGGAGGATGAGCTCAGCCCCAAAGCCAGGCTGAATCTGGGCACAAGGATGCCAAATCTCAGAACAGGAGGGCACCATGGAGGTCACCTAGTTCCCCACCCCATTTCACAAAAGAGAAAGCTGAGGCCCAGAGAGGGAGGTGGCTTGCTCAAGACCATTGAGCAAGGGAGAAGCCCAAAGAAGACACCCATGCTCCACACACACTGCCTCTGACACCAATTTCAGGTACACCAGCCAGAAAAAGAACTTGGATTCTCCCCCTAGGGACATCTGCTCCTGTAAGAACTACACTCACCCCTCCCCATTTCAGGAATGAAGGCTCCCAGGTTATCCACTCATATCTAAGAGGGGAGCGAGGGTAGAGTTGATGCTGCCGCAGACTCATAGCTCTCAATGGCCTTAGTCTAGGCCTAAGGCAGAGAGGTGTTTCAGGAACCAGAGCTCAGACCAGGAGGGAAATTCTCGTCCTGCGGCCTATGCATGGCCTCCTTCCACTGAGAGCAGGTGTGCAGATGTGTGTGTGTGAAAAGTGGGAGGGAGGCCTCACAGGGAACTGAGGCCACACTCACATGATATTCACAGCCACAGCACAGCCCGATGTGATCAGCATGGTCCCCCCTTCGATCTCATAGTCCCCAGAGATTAGCCGCTCCACTGCCAGGAACACCAGCACTCCAGTCACGACCCAGATGGACAGTACAGAGAGCAGGGCTCCCAGGATCTCTGAGGAAGAACCCAACCCCCAACACCAATCTTAGTGTGGGGCCTG